CCCCTTCTCCCCAGCAGCCAGCGCGCCGCCCCCCCCCGCCCGACCACTTTATTTCGGCGTCGTCGTCGCCCCCCCCCCTCCCTCCCACTCTCACCAGCATCCCAGCACACCGCCCCCTCCGCCCCGATCGCCTTATTCTCTTGCACAGCTGTGCTCTAGAGCTCGGACATCTTTATTTTCGTCGTTCGTCGTGTCGTTCGCCCCCCTCGCTCCCCCCCCTGTCCACGCTTCCCAGGGTAGCCCCCCTGGGCCACGGAACCCTTTATTTTCGTCGTTCGTCGCGTCGTTCGCCCCCCTCGCCCCCCCCCCGCCCCCCTCGCCCCCCCCCCTGTCCACGCTTCCCAGGGTGCCCCTCGCCCCCCCCCTGTCCACGCTTCCCAGGGTAGCCCCCCTGGGCCACGGAACCCTTTACTTTCGTCGTTCGTCGCGTCGTTCGTCCCCCTCGCCCCCCCCCGTCCCCCTCGCCCCCCCCCCTGTCCACGCTTCCCAAGGTAGCCCCCCGGCTCTTGGGGAACCACTGAGGCACTCTTGGCCGAGGCCTAGAAACAAAACCAGGCCAGGCCCCAGAAATCGTCGTCGTCGTCGTCCTCCTCCTCCGCTTTCTTCCTGGATCCTCCTAAACCCCTCCTGGAGGAAGGAGGCGAGGGCCTCCTGTCCTTCGCAGCTCCTTTGTGCAAGAGCCAGGGCACGCGTGCCACTTGTTTCGCCGAGTCGGCGACCCCCAGGGCGCCCCACAAAGGAACTCCAGCGCGAAGGCGGGCGCGAATTGCCGAGTGGCTGAAAGCCCCAGGCAGCGCCAATGCTGTTTCGCCGACGTTGAACTCCAGGCCGGACACGCGGGCGCACTCCGAGAATGCGCGCTCGAGGGGGGCCAAGTGCCTCGGCAGCAGCGGGTCAACCAGGGCCGCGTCGTCGGCGCAAGCCCGCATGAGTCGCGGATGGGCGGTCGCGGCGTAGACGTCTGAACAACAAGTCGGCGGCGACCGCGAACAACAGCGGGGAGCGGGGCGCCCTTGTCGGGCGCCGCGGTGAACCCCAAACCCAGCGCAATGGGCGCCATCCAAGACAATGTCGCAGAAGTTGCCCTGGCACAACACCGGAGCCAAGCCGGTCAATTGAGGGACACACCTACTCGAGGAAGGAGCGGGCGATGGAAGGGAAGGCGGCGGCAAAATCGAAAAATATAGCGCCAGCCCCGTCCGACTCGCAGGCGGCCAAAACCAGGGCTTCCTCAATGTCGACCAGGTTGGACAACGCGGGGCGCCCGCTGACGACCCCCCCCCGGCTGTCCAGCACTCTGGCCCCCACCGCCGGCTCGATCAGCAGCCGCGCGGCCTTCGCCCGCAGCCTGTTGTCCGAATTCGCGATGCTGAGCGGGCGCGCGCTGGCGGGCTCGCATGCCCCTTCCCCTGCCGACCCCGCGCCGCGCCCGAAGGCTTCTCGGGCGGGAAGACGAGGGCGCCGGCGTTGAAATCGTCGGCAAACGCAAACGCCTGCATGAGGGTTGCGCCGTCGGCGGGGGAGAGGGCCGGGAAGGCGTCGAGAAGGAAGGCGGTCGAGAGCACAGCGTTACGACGCTGCGCCAGGGAAGGGATTCCGTCCAGGCCCGGGGAAGAATTGTCGGACTCGTCGATGGCCTCGCGCACGCGTCGACAAGAAAGGCGAAAGCTGGACTGGTCACGCGGAGCCGCGTCGGCCAACGGGGCGGTCGCCCGCGTCGTTCCCCGCCCACTTCCGCTGCAGGGCTTCGTCGATCACCTTGTCCGCGGAGATCTCTCCCCAATGGGGGAGCAAGGCGGCTGCCTTCGCATCGGGGCGCGTGACAACCTCGCCGTCAGGCTGCAACGCCGCCGAGATGCCGCCCGCGCGGACCGGCGCCAATCGGTAGGCGAGGCGAGCACTGCGCCGCCGCGCATGCGTGGCCCGGAAATCGCCCCCACTCGAGCTCGACGCGGAGTCGGCCCAGCTCGTCGATGGCGCGATCGCGAGAGAGTTGAACGGCGCGTAGACGAGCGCCTCGGAGATGGCGCGTCACATCGCCATCGACGCGGTCGGGGTCGTCGACGACTTCCCGAAGATAGAGGTAGCATAGAAGGCAAGACGAGACCGCATTGAGACGGCCCGCATCCGCAACGCGAATGAATCTCATGGTAGCCCCCAGGCGGTCCTTCGCAGTGAAAGCCGGCCCCTGCGCGCCACGCTGTTCCTCGATGCGAGCTGGAATTGGCCGCGCAGCGGTCTCGTAGCGCCGCGGGCGCTCCAGCGCATTGGGATTCGGAGACCCCTTCAAAGATTCGCGATGCTCCAGCGCCACTCGGCAAGGAAACGCTGGAATTGCCAGAGATGAGGCAGCCAGTGGCCGAACGTCATCATCGCCGCGTTGTGGAGTGCACCGGGCGAAGTGAACCGCTCGATGGCGGGGTAGATCACGGCGCCATTCCAATGCCGAGCAACACGCGCGCCTGTCAAGCTGGTCGGACAATTCGTTGTTGATGTTGATGCGGTCAAGCCGAGACCGGGCAGGAGAGGACGCATGCGCGTGCTCTGCCTGGCGCATCTCGGCGAGCCCAAACCTGTCGCCCAGAGCGGCCGCGAACTCGCTCTGGTCGCGGGCGCCCCTGGCGCTGGAAGGCTCTGGCGCGAGGCTGCTCTGTGAACTGTATAGACATGAGCGTCGGACAACGACCCCAACGCTGGCTTGCCCCGTCGAGGCCCCTCGGACCGCCAAGCTGCTGTGCTGGGAGGGGCGCGCCAAGTGGAGTTGCTGGTCTCGAAACCGTGCGCCCCGGTGATCAGGCAGATGTCCGACTTCAGCATCAGCTCGTGGATGCATGAGCTCTTGGCATCGCGGCGATGGATGTCCGTGGCAAGCGCCCGGGCGCTCCAAGTCGCACTGGAGAAATCCCCTGCGCACTGGCCACGACGATCAGCTGAGAGGGCGGCGGGCGCAGGAAAGTGCGCCTGCGGTGGCGGAAGGGGCCGGTCAGCGGGCTCCAACGGCGCGGAGTAGCCGGAGGCGGCGGCAAACGTGAACTGGGAGGTCGATAGCGGCGTGGTCAAACGCCTGTGCTGGGACAAAGTCGTCGGCGGCGAATACGCAGCAGGCGAGGAAGAAGGTGGGCATGCCAACCGGGGGCAAGATGCGGCGAAGAACGAGGGCACCGTGGAGGCGTAGCAGAAGACCGAGCGGTTGAAGAAAACGCAGAGGGTCCCCGAGTAGAGCGAGGGCTGGAGGGACCCGACGGCTGGCGGTCTGACCGCGACGGCGCAGAAGGGGTGGGGCCGTCTACGCAGGCGTGGAAGACGACGAACACGACGAAACCCGAATGGCCCAATGTGTCAATGCAACAAACTCTTATGTCAACTCCAGACCTCGCGCCCCAGCAGAGGCGCCTATCGGCGCCATGGGCGCGGGGGGCACCTATCCCCGCGCCCCTGGGCCGTTCCCCGGCGCGATGCCCAGCTCCAATGAGTCATTGCCCACCTTGATGTCGATGAGGTCGTTGCCGACCTGGATGGCCTTATTGCGCAGGGTGGCGCGCGGGGTGAAAGCGTCAGCCTTGTTCTTGACCATCACCTTGATGGCCCCGCCAGCGGCGGGAAGCTGGCCGCGGCCCACCGGGGCGCGCCCCCCTGCCTCGAGGTCGCCGGGGTCGGGGGCGAGGGGCAACTGGAGACCCGTCGACGAAATCGCGTGCTGCATCAGCCTGTTCAACACCTCGCTGTCCTGGAGACACATTTCGCCTTGCGCCCAGATCTCGGCGAGGTAGTCCGAGATGGAGTGGGACTTGCCTGCGCGGCGCTCGGCGGCATCAGCGCGCTGGGCCACTGCGGCGGGGGCGGCGATGACTCGGCCGCCGAATCCCGAGGGGCGGCGTTTCAGCCGCGTCGCGGCGTTGGCGGCGCCCAGCAACCAGACCTCGCCCCTGGCGGCCGCCCAGAAGTCGCCAGGTGCCAATGGGAACCTGGTCGGACTCAAGACGAACACATGCGAACATGAGGGCCAGCGGCGGCGGGCAACTCCTGGCAAGTTGCACTCGAAGAAGAAAGCGTTGGAGACGGCTGCCAACCCTCCGAGGCCGAAGAAGGCGGGGCCTGGAGGATGCGCGCAGCGCAGCTCGCTGAGCGCAGTGGCGATGTCGAAGTGCGCGAGGCGGCCCGGGAAGATCACGCAGAAAGAAATGCGGGGCGTCTCCTCGGAGCTCAGGAAGCCCACGCGGCGAGCGCGAGGGAACGCGCCCGACAGGAGTGGGAGGGGGCACAGGGGCAGGAACCGAGGGAGGCCGTCCGCGAGAAGATCAAACGCAACGACCTTGAACCCGGGCAGCTGGGAAAGCGAGGCCACGTCGATCAGCCTCGGGAGGGCGCGGGGCCCGTCGAACCGCGAGGAGAACGCAGCCGAACCCCGGCGGCCGACGCGGGGGGGCCCGGACATCGCGGGAAGGGCCGCCTCGAACGGGAAGGGGATGAAAGCGACGCCCCTGGCGATCGGGAGCTACATGGCGGATAATAATGGGAAGTTGCAGGCGCCGGTGACGTTGGAAACGCCGTTCAAGCCAGACGTCGCAGGATAACCGAGGTAAAGGCGAGGTCGTCGGGGCGCGAGGCGAGGGCGGAGCGTCGAAAGAAGCCGGCAGGAGGCGCGTCGGCGAGCCGTTGTCGGCGGGGGCCCAGAGCGCCGCCGACATCCCCGATGGGTCTCCCCATAGCGTCTCATTGCCCTTCTCCGCCTTGGTGCCCCAAACGCAGGTCCCCGCTGGGGGCCGCGCAGCCGGGTCGCCAGCGCGCAAGACGTCGGACCGCTGCGCGTGGATCTCAACGCGCGAGGCCCGCGCGACGTCCTGGACGGCCGCCAGCGCCTCCTTCCCCAGCTCCATGAACATCGGCGGCCGGTCGGGCCTGAAGCGGCGGCGCTCCGTGAGCACCTGCGGAAGCCCCGCCTCGCACTGGGCCGCGGTGGCGGAGAGCTTGTCCAGGTAGGGCCTTGTTTTGCAAAACATCGCCCCTCGGCCAGTCGGGGGCGAAGGAAAGAACGGCGAGGGCATGCGCAGCGCGGCCCCGCGCCAGGATGACAACGTCCGCGGGGGCGGGGCCCTCCAGCCTGGCGGGGCCCAGGACGCCCCGCGAGTCCCGGGCGTCGGGGTTGCAACCCATTTTGATGAGGATGGCTCGCAGCTCCAGGAGGTCGGTAGAGAGCCGGCTCGGGAGCGACTGGGCGTCGACGGAAGCGCCGGCGACCAGCTGGATCGAATCGACCGCGCGCGACGTCGCCCGCTCGACCCAGCCCCGAAGCAACGGAGCCTTGGACGGCAGCGGTTCGAGTCTAGGGGGGCTTGGAACAAGAGCAGGTTGCACCGTCGCCGACGCAGGTGAAGTTTCTAAACTGAGGGCCGCCGACTGCTGCGCCATGGCGGTCTGACCCTGCGCGCCGTCGCCGCCGCCCCGCGCGGCGGCCTGAGCAACTGCCCCCCCGGCAGCCGCGGCCCCCGAAGCCGCGGGGCACCCGCGGCGCGCCAAATGCCCCGCGCAGAGCGACGTGCCCGGCACGGTGGGTCCAACGACGCCCTGAGCTAGGCAGGCCCTGAGCAATGGCTCAGGACACTTCTATGCAACGCTCGGCGCGCTGAGGCGCGGAAACGACCCGCGCGAAAGCGCGACTGCGCAGGCGAGGCATGAGAAACATACTTTCGAAACCGCAGCGCGCTCCGGGCCCGCATTTTGCAATGGGGCTTTTGACTCCGCAGCCCCCGACAGAAGACGCAAAAATATGAGCCAGCTTTTTCACAGAGAGGCTCAGGATAGAGCTGGGCGACGAGGGCCCAGAACTGGCCGCTTGGGGCCTTGCCCGACAGCTCGAGGCGAAGCCCGCCAATCCTTGAGCACCAGCCATGACCCTGACATCTGGAGTGGTCAAGAGTGGCCGAGGCCTCCCCTGGCACATTCCAAAGCATGAACTTGGCACCATTCTTCCAGCGCGCCCCAAACAGGCAGAGGTCATTCGTTTAAAACGTATCACTTCGATGTCCACTTAACTTCGCAATCTCTTGGGGTATCCAACGAATAGATATCCATGGGTTCCCAATCATGCACGGGGTCTTCGTGGCGAGGCACAGCAGAAAGAACTTGAAGGAAAAACGAATGATAATATGACCGACTCGGACCCTCTCGCAATCGGCTGCACCGGGGCCCTCGAGGCCCTATGGGAAGGCATTCCAACGGAAAGGAGGCGGGCGCCAACGGCAGGCCCGACTCAGAGTCTGTCAGGGAGCGGCGATTATCATATCGTCCTGTGACAACGGCGAATTCTATACAGGAGTATCTGCTGGTCCTTTCCACGGCGCAAGTCACGATGGGGTCCGCGCACGATGTCTGTCCGACAAGCCCTACCATTCAACTTCTCTACTTCCCGAGAGACCCCCCCCATGACCCGAGCAGACGCCCTCGGAGTTCCACCCCCCGGCAGAATGGGAGCAGCGCGAGGGCGAAGCCCGCGCAAGAACGCGTTTTTTTTTTTCCAAGTTTATCTCGCGCCAGAGGGCGCGCTGCTTGAAGTTGGCGGGGAGCCTCTGCCACCGGGCTTGCACTCGGTCGCCCCTTCTCGTGTCTGGCGACACTCTCGTGGCACCCCCGCCCCCCGCGTTTCTGGATATCGTCTGGGGCCGGCCGGAGACGACCCCCCAAGGCGCCGCTTTGTCGCAGCTGATAGGGGACTAGTTCTGGCAGCTCGATCACGGCAGCTGCATTCTTGAAAATGCTCGAAGCACTGGGAAGAGCAGCAGCCGCAGACGGGCTCACCGCCGGCCTTTCCGTGGACCAGCCACCGCAGGAGGTCGCCGGCCCACGGCTCCTCCTGGCCCGACGCGACGACATCGTCGCATATGCCGACCTTCGCGGGGCACAGCGCCTGGGACGGACGGATCGCGATGGCCCGGCGCGGGCCGATGTCCGACATGGGCGGGATGGGCCGCTTCGCTTCCAGGTCCTGGTGGATTTCGTCGGGCCTCTCATGCGTCACCAGACTCTTCAGCGCCCCCACGGCCACGCGAAGCTGGCCTGCCCGGGCCAGCTCGGCCGCCGTCGCAGCCCAGACAGGGCGCGCCTCGGGCAGGCGGGGCCGCCCAGGAGCCAGGCGGCCCCAGCTTGGGGGGGCGCGGCGGGCACGAGGAAAGCAAATTATCCATTCTTGCCGAACTTCGGGCATATGCCCTCGAGGGCGGCCAGCAGCCGGCGCCCGGCGCCCCTGTCCTGTCCGTCGAAGAACCTCTCGTCGAACACCTCGATGAGCGGAGTCGAGCTCCTCCGGGGGGGCCCGCGAGAGCCCGAGCCGAGCGCAGTCGCCCCAGAACTCCTGGACCACCTTCGAGCACTGCGCGCCCATCTTCTCGCCCACGGCCTTGGTCTCGACGAACGAGCGGCCGGGGGTGGCGTCGGCCTCCACTGAGTAACGATCCCGCCTCAAGAGGGTCGCCGCCAATCTCCTCTCCTTCACTGGCCGCAGCACCGGAGAGCTCGTCGGCGGACGGGGAACCGCTCGAGCTCGCCGAGCTGGCGTCTCCCGCCTGGCGGCCTTCGTCGGGGCACTCTGTCCGTTGGCCGCCAGCCGCCGCTCGGTCCGTCTGCCTGGCGGCGCCGCAGCCAGGGCCCGCCGGCTGCCCATCCCGCGCGCGTCGCCACTGGGACGAGGGCTCAAGCCGCCGCGAAGGCCCGCCCGCGGGGCCGAGCTCAGACGGCAGCCAGCGCGCGCGGCAACGGACGCCCAGGGCGAGAGACAAGGCGCGCCAACGTCGACAGCGCAGGTTCAGCTTGCAATCGCAAGCCCTGCCTTTTGCGAAAGCCAGCACTTACCCAAGGATGCCTCCGAGAAACGCGACGTGACGGCCTCAAAACCCATAGCGTTCACCGAATCGACGCAAGGCCCTGATCATGCCTTCCGCTTCGAGGATGCGGGTAGCTTCTGCGCGAGTAAATCGCCCAGAGTAGATGTACTTCCAGGGGCCCTCGTGGATCCAGTTGGGGCCGACGTCGGGGAACTCCGGGCCCTCCTCCCAGACCTCGCCGGCCTCGTTGGCCCCCAGAGGGGCGCGAATAATGAACTCGTCGACGAGGGCGCCCCAGGGCCCAGCGAGGGCGCGGGCTTGATGATCCATGTCCTGCCTGCCTCTGCATCCTGCATCCGAGACGTTCGTCGACCCTGCCAGCGCCCTCCACCTTTTCAGCGGCCCGGGGAGATTTAACGACGCCCCAGCCAGCGGGGCGCGCGCCCGTCGTTGCGACATCGCAGTGCCAGGGCAACTTCCCCGTGGCATAGGCGGAAGGGAGCGGCGATCGCGCCGCCTCGAGCTCGGCGCGCAGCAAGGGCCAGAGGCCCAACTGCCCTAGGCCAACATCTCCTAACACTTGACGCGCAGCTGACAGCACGGCCAGGAGCGGCCGCCGCGGCGCAGAAAGGAAAGCGAGGCGGCGCACGACGCTCTCCAACCCATGGCCCGTCGCGACGCCCCTTTTGGTGAGCCGCGGCAGCAGGCCATCGACCTGCCGCGCGCGAGAGAGGGCGGTCGACGCAATGCCCGACTTGCCATCGATGGAGACGCCCAGCACCGCCGCCTCGCTCCGAGCGCCCACCTGCTCGTGGGTCTCCAGGCCCACGTGGTCTAGCGCCTCGCAGGCCTGGCCCTTGGAAAGCTGCGCGCCCGCCTTGCGCCCGCCCAGCGCACCTGCGTTGCCCGCGCAAAGTCAACGCAATTGCAGACCGACAGCGGCGACGAGGCGCGACCCGCCGAACGTCTGCAGACGACGCGCCGGCGGGGCACCTGCGGCGGCCTCGACCTGAATGGCCACCGCCTCCTGCGCGAGGTAGAGGGGCCAATTGAAGCCCACGGGGGGCACTGCGAAGCACGTGCGCACCTGGCGGTCACCAGTCAGCCGCTCCCCCTCGAGTTCGCGAATGCCACGCCCTCCCGCCCTGAGGGGCGGCAACCCAGAACTTCTGCTGAGCTCGAAGTCGATATTGAAACGGTAGAAAGCGCCCCGCGGGTCACAAGTGCTGACGAACACCTCAGCGTCATCGTCGACCTTGGTCATCCCCAGCGACCCGGCCGACGCCAGTTCCACCCCATGGGGAGTCACGCAACCGACGGCTGCTGCAACGGGCATCCACCACCAAACCTCTGCCCCGACTTCTTTTACACGAAAAACACGGCGGCGCGCCCCTTCGCCGCCGCGCACGGCTGCAAGACGCGAGCCGACTCCAGCTGCTTGACGAAGCGGATGTAGGCCGACCTGCACCCCGCCAACTTGCGCCCCGTGAAGGCTTGATCGGCTCTGCGTTGTCCTGCGGCCCCCAATATTCGATATCCGACCTGACCATGTGCTTCTCGAAATTCATTAGCACACGGCCAGCCTCTGTCGGCACCGCGTCAACTACGCGTGGACAGCTCCGACATGAAACGTGCACCGACAGGGGCTCATCCTGGCAATCCATCACAACATGCCCATCCGGATCGTAGCTGGCCCGGAAACGCAGAAGCGCGCGAGCGGCTTCGTGCGGGCGTGGAATTGCAAACGCAGCCTGAGACCGACCCATGACGGTCCTGATGCGCGCGATGGCCTCCAGCTGCGCCGAAGAGGAGCTGCCTGGAGGTCGCGACGTAGTACGGCACCCACTCAGCCAGTTCAGCGAGGAGATGGCCTCGCTAGTCTGGCGCGTCACGGCCTGACGGCGACCGATCCGCCAGCGCGCGCCACGGCTGAGGTTCGCACCACAGGGCCCCTCCTCCACCAGCGTCGGCAAAATGAACAGCCCGGACTGCATCGACAAAAAAAAAAAAACTCGCCCAGGGGGATGAATGCAAAAACTCGCGCCACGACGCCACCCCTCTCAAGTGAAAACGGCCTGCAACAGGGTGCTTGCAGGCCGCCACTCGCACGCTGAAACTTCTCCGCGCCACCATCCTTCTTGCTCGGGCCCGCCTTCCTCTTGGATCTCGCGGCGGCTGTCTGCACAACAAAAGTTTTCTAGCGCTGCTTCTAGATTTCGGCCTTCTCCTTGGCACGTGAGGCCACGCAAGCGGCGAGGGCCGGGGCGATTCCAGCCGTCCTCTGCTGGTGGCCCGACCCGAGCTCCTCGCCCTCAAAGTGCCCCTCTCCAGGGTCGCGGCTGGCGGCATCCAACAACAACTGCATCCGACGGGCAACCGCCTCGAAGCACGCCTGGGAAGCCATATTGAGTTGGTCATAGCACCCCGCATGCTCCAGCAGCAAGCACAAGGCCTGCAGCTCGTAGGAGACGCGGTCCAAGGCGGAGGCGCAATTCTCCACCAAGTACGTTTCGACCCAGAGGATCGGGAAACCCCTGGTGCGCTCGATGCGATTGGTCATCCACAGCATCGTGCGAGGCCCTTCGACGGGCCAGTCCTCATAGAAACTCTCACGCATCTTGGCGACCGCCTCCTTCCAGCCCCTGAAACGCTCACCCTCCTCGTCATACATCACGGCCGAAGTCTGACTGTCGTCGTCGAACACCTCCTGTGTCGTGGCGAACTTGCCCCCTGGGCCTCCATGAGGCCCGCGATAACGGCCCAACGCTGGCCGAAAGCCGTCACCTCGTCGAACGGCACGCGGTAGAGCACGACCACCGCCGAGGTCGTAGGCCCCGCCAGGTTGGAGAACGCGACCCGCATGCGGTCACCCAGCTGCACGATGCATTTGTCGCCGTTGATGGTGGTGGCTGACACCTCGGTACCCCGCGGGATGGCGAAAGTCGCCCCCCCCACGACCCAGCCGAACCCAAGCTCGTGACGCACGGGACGAAGCGTGGATGTTCCGCCGCCCTCCTCGGCGTCTGGCGCGGCAGCAGGCGGAGGGGCAGCTGGTTCCCCACTCCCGGCGTCGCGGCCGATGAAAAGCATGTCGGGACTCGACTTGCCCCGCACCCGCTGATGCCCCTGAGCGTCACCTACACAAAGGATCTCATCACCATCACCTCGCTCGCGCCAGAGGTCCTCCAACGCCACTACGTGGCCGTTCCGCAGCTAAGCGTACCGGACCAAGTCAAGACCTGGGGCTGTCATCCCCAGCAGCTCACGAATCATCTGGCGCGACTCCACAATAAGAATTCTGACTTCTCGATGAACTAGTGAGCGGCGGAACCGGTACCTAGGCGACTTGACCTCGCGCAGCACGCGGCCGCCAGGACTCACAATGACAAATTCGACGATGTCACCGCCGTGCAAACGTTCAACCACCTTATCGCCGTCCGGCGATTCGAGCACCCAGCAGGTTTTCCCCTGGGTCGTCGTACCGAACGAAGATCTAAGCGCCGGGCATCAACACCCTCAATGACAACGCCACCTTTGAGGGCACCATGGCGACGTCCACCGAACCAGGCGCCACAGGACCCCGAGCAGACACGGGCCACCAAGGCGATCACGACACCGACGAACCACGACTCTGGTTCGGGGCACGGTGGAATGACAGGCAACGCCGGGCAGGGGAAGATTTCCAGGCTCGTCAGGGAGCATTCGGGGGGCGGTGGGCACGAAGGGCTGACGTCTGAAGCCCCTGGAACCGCCCAGCCCGCGATGGCCCCAGCTATGGCACCGCGCCCGACTTTCCGTGCAGCATCACGGAAGGCGTCGCCAAAATCTGGCAACACAATTTTTAGCGAACGCCTCAAGAACGTTGAGCAAACAAATGTGGCAACGACATTGCACCCCTTTTCCACCTAACCTCATTACACTCGCAGACAAAACCATGTGCGCACATGGCGCAAACTGTGTGGTGCAATCTAAGTCGTGCAATACACGTGGTGCCGCGGTGCCAGCTATGCAGTACTACGTGGTGCGAGCTACGAAGTGCAACATGTGTGATGCAATATGCGCGGTCCAAAGTATGTGGCGCAATATACGTGGCGCTACCCATTGCAATCGATTGCAATCGATTGCAAGTCAGCGGGGCTGGTGCAAAGGGGCGGCGGCGACGGGCGGCGACGGGCGGCGCCCAGGCGGCAACGGGCGGCGACGGCGGCAACAAGCGCGGCGACCGACACCCGGGCCCAGAAACAATTGCGATTGACGGCGGCGGGGGGCAGCGATGGCGACGACAAGCCGGTCGGAGCGACACCAGGGCCCAGTTCCTGTTGGACGAAGTAAGAAGCCCTGAGTGCAAGCACTGTTTGGAAAAACTGCGAAGAAACTCTCCGGCCTTCGAGCCTCGAATCTTCTTCCCCCCCCGAGGCACAAGGAGACACCGTACGGACACGCATGGCATATTGGCGGCCTCGGCACCGAAGGCACTGCGGCGGAAGAGGACGGAACAATGAGAAGCAGGAGGCGGCGAGGAGGAGTGACAACGGGTGAGGGAAGAGGGAGGGGCGAGGAGGGAGGTTGAGGGGGACGGAAGGGGGAAGGCAGGAGGAAGGAAAGCAGCGCAACCAACGGAGGAATGAGGAGGGGGATCAGGAGAGCTGGCGGTGTGAGGATGGTCGCGTACACATCTGAATCGTTCTCGAGCAACATGACAGTTCCCCACGCATGCCGCGCACCCGCAGGCGAAGCGAACGTGGTGTCCAACGGTGCCCTCGGGGCAGGCAGCGGGCTATGCCGCCCCCACCGTGGCTGCCTCCGGCTCGTGTGTGGAGAGGGGGCTTACGGCGTGGGCATCGGATAAGGAACCCTTAGATAAGGAATCCAGGGTCTGGAAGCCAGTGGGACTCCAGTCGTGGATCGGCCATGGATATCACCGCCGCCCTCGTCGGCTCAGGAATCCTCCAGGGTCTGGCGCCTCCAGGGACCCTTAGCAAACGCCGCCACCGTGCATCGTTCGGTGGGGGCGCAGCTGGCATAACCGCGCGCGCCGAACGCCCAAGGTGAGGGCACGGCGTGCCACCCTCGGCCCCGTTGGAGGCGTGGCCGAAGTGTCCCGGTCGGTCGGACAACGTCGAAGAGCGCCGACGTCGTCCATCGGGCTCGCAAGGACGATGGCGACGACACGGCGGCGGATGACGAGGATGACAGCGAGGATGACGGGGAGAGCAGCGGTGGGAGAGGGGCAACGAGTAGAAAGACACGCGTGAGGACGACGAGGAAGAGATGGAGGAGGACAGGCACGAGGAAGAACGAAACGGGGGAGCGAACGTCACCTGAGAGGGCGACGGTCAGTTCAGCCGTGCCGCGGCGCGCCAGCTCCCCCCGTCAGGTCAGCGGGAAGACGAAGAGCGCGGCGCGCGGCGGCGATGGCGGAGGTCTGCTTGTGGTGGTCCATGGGCTGCGGGTCGTCCTTCGTGAGGTGGTGCGCCCTGGTGGCCACGCTGAAGCGCGCGACTGAGTTGGGGATGCCATTCTCCCCGTCGAACGGCTCGGTCAGGGCGGGCAGCGCCATCCGCGCGAGGAGGTTGGCGCCCAGCTGGCCGCGCGGAAGGCTCAGCTGGTGCCGCATCCTCTCGCACACGAGGTAGTGCTGGATGCTGTCGTTGCTCAACGGGTGCGTGTACCCGAAGTGGCATGGGCGCTTGTCCTGATTCACGTGCATTCTGAAGCTCGTAGCCCATGCACCCGTGATCGCGTTCAGTGCAGCCCACAGCCTCGCAGGCGGTAGTGTCGCGAGGCAGGTGCGCAACCGTTTTCAGCGTGCTGGTAGGTCCTCTGGTACAAGCTGGAGTCGAAGCAGGTCGGCACGCTCAGGAACTTCATCTGGATATGAGTCGATGTCCATGTTGTCGTCGTCGTGGTTGGGCTCAGAGGCGGGGATGTGCTCGGCAGGAGGGTGGGGACCCAGCGACGACGGCCTCGGTGCTGTGCAGTTTCGTCTGCGAGAACGAAACGGAGGAGGAGGAGGAGGAGGAGGAGAAAAGGAGGAGATGGACGACGACGACGACGACGACGACGACGACGACGACGACGACGACGACGACGACGGAGGACGGCACAGAACCCCAGGAAAATGATGTGGAAGAACGGGGGTTCTCGTGATCTTATGGAGCTACCCTTGTGGTTGTTGGGGCCATCTTGGGCTATCTTGGGGTATCCTGGGGGCCTCTTGCGGGCCTGTCGGGGTCCTCTTTCCTCGATTCCAAGACGCTGTTGACTCGGAACCCCCTTCCGACGCGTAAATGGTAGTCGCGATGCCCAACCAACCCATCTTGGTGCAAGAAACGAAAGAAATTGTGGCCCCTTGTATTCCACACTCAGGCCAATCGTGAGTGCGTGCGTCGACTCTCCCGCCCAGCTGTGAACGAAAATGGTGATGGGAGAGAGAAAGACACTAAACACTAGCGATAGAGAGAGCGTCAGCAGGTTATGAGTGATTAACATCTTATCAACACCCCTTCAAAGCACATCTCTACGAATCTGCATTTCACACAAGAAAGGAAAACCTATGTTGTGCAATCTGGGTGGCGAGGGGGCGACGACGAGGTGGCGACGGGGAGCACGGAGCCGCCAGACCGCCAGCCAGGACCAGACGACGGGCAGCGACGATGCGGGGACGGGGCGGCGGCGACGAGCACGGAGCCGACAGACCGCCAGCTAGGCCCAGACGACGGTCGGCGACGAGGCGGCGACGGGGCGGCGACGGCGAGCACGGAACCGCCAGGCCGCCAGCCGGGCCAGGCCTAGTTCCTTGGAGAAAAAATGAAGACCCCAAATTGCAAGCACTGTTTGGGGAATCCGCCGACCCAGTCGGCGCATGTCAGAGGCCTTTCGACGCGAGGCCAGCCCAACCCAAACTGAAGTACGCCAGCCTCCTTTGAATCGCCGTCGTCGCAAAGAAAATCGAACAAACAAGGGGAATCGAGCAATGTCGTAATTACGTCGAAGGGGCGCCCTTCAATTTGTCCCTTCCCCAACGGGGGAGGGTCCCGAAGGGTGGTCCCAGAAGCGGTCCGGGGGGGGTCGGGGGGTTGTGACTGCTCCCCCTGTGCGAGCTTTCCCCTTCGCCTTTCGCCTCAAGTACGCCAGCCTCCTTTGAATCGTCGTCGTCGCAAGGGAGATCGAACCAACGATGGAAATCGAACAATGTCGTAATTACGTCAAAGGGAACCCCCTTCCCTTTGTCACTTCCCCGTCGGATATGGTGGGGGTCCCAGGGGGCTCCCTCCGCGCAGCTCCCGCAGCGTTGCAGGAGGACCTGTGCGCGGCGCTGCGTCGAGAGCCCCGTGCTCTGAGAGGGGCCCGGCCTCCCTCCGCGGAGCTCCCGCGCAGACTGCCGGGCCGAGCGCGCGCGGCGCTCGGGCGAGGGCCGCGCACGCACCGCAGGCGGCCCGCCCTGCACGCGTGAAGCTCTCTGGCGAGCGCTTCCAGCGAGTGCGCTCCTCCCCCTCCTGCTTCTCCTCCTCCTCCTCCTCCCCCTCCTCCTCCTCCTCCTCCTCCTCCTCCTCCTCCTTCTCCTCCTCCTCCTCCTCCTCCTCCTCCTCCTCCTCCTCTCCTCCTCCTCTCTCCTCCTCCTCCTCCTCCTCCGCCTCTCCTCCTCCTCCTCCTCCTCCTCCCTCCTCCTCCTCCTCCTCCGCCTCCTCCTCCTCTCCTCCGCCTCCTCTCCGCCTCCTCCTCCCCCTCCTCCTCCTCCTCCTCCCTCCTCCTCCTCCTCCTCTCCTCCTCGTTCTCCTCCCCCTCCTCCTCCTCCTCCTCCCTCCTCCTCCTCCTCCTCCTCCTCCTCCCTCCTCCTCCTCCTTCTCCTCCTCCTCCTCGTCCTCCTCCTCCCCCTCCTGCCATGCATGTCCCAAGCCTGTGGCAGGGTCATCAGCTCGTCGCTGTCGTTGTCGTCGTGGTCGTCGTCGTCGTCGTCCTTCTTGGTCGGCGGCGCCAGCCGGAAGGCCTTCACTATATGTATTTCTCTCTCTCTCTCTCTTTCTCTCTCTCCCTCCCCCTCCTCCGCCGTGCAACACAGACTGCCTGAAGCCGGTGGCGCTGATAGTGGAAGACCTCCTGTTTCTTTGCGTGGCACGGGTAAGAAATATGTTCTGCGTGAGCCAAAGCTGAGAGCTGTGAAGGAGCCGTGAGTGCATCCCTGGCGAAGCATCAGCAAGCCACGAAAGCACGAGTACGCTACCAATGGGCTATGACTGAGGGTATGGGTGAGGACTCCAAGCAGTGGGCGCAAACCTTTTCGAGATGGGGCGTGCGTGTGATGCTGAACCTAAAACATTATGGAAGCAGGCTATCACTTATTGCAGCCGTTGCCTTCATGGTGAATAGCCAAGCTGCCACTCATAGATAGTTGGTTATCCACTTCTGCTCGATCTTCGTACTAAGCCTCGGCCTTGGCTCGGCGTGGATCAAACGGAGCCTGCCGCGAGCAAGCAAGGCAATCCTCTGGCCTCAGCTCCATCACGCCAGTCCAGTCCAGCCAGCCTTGAAGCGCTTTCTTCAGATCCCCGGCCTTGGGCTTGAGAAGCGGCGGCGGTGTCCGGGGAATCTTGCTAGCTGGAGTGAAAATCAGCAGCTCGACCTCGCCGTCTGTCGCCGCCGTGATGTACCCCGCCCAGGCCTCCAAGGAACCGCTCCTGGGTTCCCTGTCCACGCTAGGCCAATAGCTTTCAGAAACCGCACAGACGAATATGCATCGCTCCGTACCACCGACGGTGACCTTCACGGGGTAGACGCCGTGCACCAGGACATCCTCTGCACCTGCACGTCCGACAGCCCTTGCAACTGTCTCTCTAGAGTCGAAAAGCCCAGCGGCGCACATCACCGCGTCTGCGGCTCGCTTATTTTTGAAATCCTCGAGTCCCATGCCGCGCTCCTCGCCTTCGTGGATCTGGGATGCGAGGTCCTTTGTTCGCCCCAGAAGGAAAAAAAACCAATTCGATTCACATTCTCGTGCCATCACCACGTCTCCCGTGAGGTACCAGTCCGCCTCACCTCACAAAGGATTCGTGAAGCTCCTGGCACGCTAGCACGAATTAACACAATGAAGAGCACGTGTTTTACGTGACGATGTTCACTCTTTCGCAAGATTCTGCAACCACACATTTGCAAGACCCGCCTCTCAAGTGGAACTCCGAATGTGACTTTTGTACTAGCGAACTCTGATGTCAATCCCTTGGTCTGGACCACCACACACCAACGAAGAAAACCAAAAACTGCCTGATTCGTCTCTCCGAACGTTGAATGCCCACAGACACTACGTTTTAGCCAGCACGCTTCGAGCACTTTCCCAAAACAGTGCTAAGGATCCTTTGCTCGTGCTGCCAGACCGTGAGCTGGTGGTTCCAACTCTTCGCCCCAGTGCCCGCCTGTGGCCGCCCCTCGGCACGCACGAACTGGGCACGGAAAGACTGGGCACGATGCCCAACAGCGGTCCCTGCGCATCCTGAACAGGACTCGCTGTCGGTGCCGCCGCGGCCTGCGCCCGCTCGAGACAGAAGGCCGCCTGCCCAACAGCGGCCGCTGCTGGTCTGGGACAGCATCTGCTGCTGGGCAGCGTGCCCCCTTTCTCCGAACCCCTTTCGGGCGTCCGGAGCCCCGCGTGTGCCGCATGGCATCTCCGCAGCTCCGGGCCTTCCGCCGGGGCCCGCCCGTGGCGGCCTCGACTGGGGGCGGGCGGTGCTGGGCTTCGGCCTGTTGCTCGCCCGTAGCCACCGCGTGGCCACTTCGTACACCGGAGGGTGGTCCCAAGCCCGGGCAGAGGGCCCCCAAGGGGCCCCCGAGAGGCATTCCGAGAGACCCCAATAGGCACTCAAGAGACTTCTGGCTCACAACCCAGGCAGAGTGGCGGGATGGGCCTCAGGCAGCTAGATCCGCCGCTTCCTGTCGATCCATCACAGGGATGCCTGGCGTGCCGAAAAGTTGTTCAAACCCTTTTAAAAATCACTGTGGCCCCGCGCACTGGCCACCCAGAAGGACCCGCGGGTTGCATATCCCATCGGTCCTCTGGCATAAGACGGCCCCAAGAGGGCCTACAGGATGGCCAAGATGGCCCCCAAAATGCCTCCAAGACGGCTACGACGGCTTCAAGAAAGCCCAAGATGTTTCCGAGACTACCCATGATGCACCCAAACAAAACGGCCCAAGATAGCCCAAGAAGGCCCAAGAGGCTCCCGAGAGGCCCCAAAGAGACCTCCAAGAGCACCCCAGGATGACTGTCCCTTGTGTGTTGTCCGTTGAATTTGGCGTTTTTGCCTTTTCGGCCCCGACGTTCCAAGACGGACTGAGAAGCCCCCAAAGATCGCCCCAAGACGGCCCAGCAGGCCCCCAAGAGGCCCGCAAGACTGCCCAAGAGGCCCCCAAGACGGCCCCAGGACGGCCCCGCAGAGCTCCGAGGCAGGCGCCCAAGGAGGGGCCCACGACTGCCCGGAGAGGGCCCGACGACCACCTCCGAGGGCCAGAGGGTGAGCCCCCTGAGGCCCCCAAGAGGCCCGCAAGAGGCCTCCAGGAAGACCCCAGGAAGCCTTCAGAGGCCCCCATAGGAGGCTCCGAAAAGGCTTCGAGGAAGCCCTTAGGAGGCCCCAAGAGGGCCTCAAGAGGCCTCCTCTTGGTCCCCCTCCTCAAACTATTCCTCCTCCTCCTCCTCCTCCCCCTCCTCCTCCTCCTCCTCCTCCTCCTCCTCCTCCTCCTCCTCCTCCTCCTCCTCCTGTTCGACTTCTACCAGTACTGAAATTTCAGGGCATGTTTTTTACGGGTCCCAGACTAAGTGTGGTACTCCTGAATCAAACAAGGCTGGTTGGGGTTTTGCCGTTTTAATGACGAGCTTGAACATGTGTGCTCCCCGATTTGGGCAGATCTTCCTCAAACTTCTCAGGCGGGGGAGTTCGGCACCTACGGTGCCTCCAATGAGTTTCTTGTGGCCCCCCTCTGTTAGATAGTAATGTGGTCAAGCAGTTTGCCCAGCCGTTAGCTTGGCAGACTCACTTCAAAAGGCCATACGCGGGTATGGTTCTCGCGCCGTTCGCTTTTCTCTCGGGTCGAGAAGGTCCGTGCACATGTTTCAAATAGCGCGGCCCTCTCGGAGTACAACCTCGTCTGCAAGAAAGGTAATGGTGCTGCAGACCTTGCCGCGAAGCAGGGTGCAGTATCACATCCTCAACCTACACCAGATGAGCTGGAGGAGGCTAGCCACCTCACTTCTACAGCTCCGAAGGTGTGCAAACTCGCTTACACGTTGCTACCTTTTCGGCCAAAGTTAGATATGTCTGATGTACCGTGGGCCCGTCGGTCCGAGCCTGAGCCCAAAGAAGTAGTCCATTCAGATGCCCACCAGTGGCTATGGTGTCGTACATTTCGCGCTGCCAGGCATGCTTGCAATTCAAAAGACAGCAGGCTTGTCCGTCTGTTGCCTGTTGCTCTGATCAGTTGCCGCCAGCCGCCATTGGCTTCCATGAGCGTGGTCACAGAATGGTTGGCCTTCAGTGGTCCAATGTCACCATCCTTTACTTGTGCATCTGGTGCTGAGGTTACGCGTGCGGTGGCCAGTTCAAGAAGCTCCGAGTTGACTGCAAGCCTGAGGCCAAAGGTTCGTTGAGCAAGTGTGCGGCGTCTGTCCAGGCGAGCTCTCAGCCGTGGGCTGCACCCTGAGCTCTTGCCATCGCTCGGACGTCCATTTCGCGTGCATGTTTCGGCTTCGTGCGTGGTTTGCTTGCTCGATGGTCCTCGATGGTCCTCGATGGTTCTCGCCGAGAAAAAATGGTCCTCGATGGTTCTCGCCGAGAAAAAATGGTCCTCGATGGTTCTCGCCGTGAAAAAATGGTCCTCGATGGTTCTCGCCGAGAAAAAAGGGTCCTCGATGGTTCTCGCTGGAAAAAAAAGAAGGTTCCTCGATGGTTTTGTTTGCTCGATGGCCCTCGAGGGCTCTCGCCGAGGAAACAATGCACACGTCCGAGCGATGCCCAGGAGCCTGCGGGCGCCGCGCGTGTCAGCTCCTGAACCCCCGGGTGCTCTCCACGGGGGGGGCCCCGTCGCCACGGCCGGGCCCGCCCCTGGGAGAGCTTCGGCCCGAAGGCGTCTCCTGGAGGGGCTCGGGGGTCAGCTTCTGGGAGAGGTCGGGAGGGACCATCACATGCTAATGAGGGAGGCTAGGGTTAGGCCGACCCGACCCTAACCGAAACCTGGGGGTTACATCCGCTCTCCAGAGAGGTCGGGAGGGAGAGGAGAGGGAGGAGAGGAGAGGGACAGGCCAGCAGCAGGAGAGAGGAGAGGGGGGGAGAGGAGAGAGGAGGAGAGAGGAGAGGGAGGAGAGGGGGGAGGAGCTCTTGAGAAAGGCTGGAGGGAGAGGAGAGGGAGGAGAGAGGAGGGAAGGGTCAGCAGCAGGAAGCCACTGAGGACTTCGAGCAGGACGAACCTGGCCAGCAGAACGGGTTGGTCGTTGGGCCGTCCTTTGCGTCAGGGGGGGGGCCTTACCGCGTCGGCTGCACCAGGTTCTGCTCCTGCTCCCAGCTCCTCCCCCCCAGGCTCTTGGACCGCCTGAGAGGCCAGGCCAGGGCGTCCTTGCTTCGGGGGGAGGAGCTCCAGCCTTGCGCCACAGGGCGCCAGCGTGTCCTTCTGGCATGACCTGGACGGCCAATCTTCACACTCTTTGCCATCGGCTGTCTCCGACGACTCTGACTGATCGTCCGTTCTCTGCCTGACAGCCCGGGTGCCCAGGCCCCCTCCCGTGAAGGCATCCCCCGATCCCACATACCGCGAGCTCCCGTCTAGTTGGGCCGCGGTGGCAGGGTGGGAAAACCTGACTGGGGCCTCCACCCGGTGCTGCTCGGCGTGTCTCTGCAGGGGCCGCCCGCCTGGCTGTGCTGTTTGCCCGCCAGCCTGTCGGGCCTGACCGTCTGGTCGTGCCTGGCGGAGTGAGGAGTCCGCAGCTCGTCCAGAGGGAGAGTCGGCCTGTAGCAGTGTGCGCTTTCGCCCGACCAGCTTTGCAGCTGGGACTGGGCCTCTGGGTGTGCGCTGGCGCAGTGAAGTGCAACCCTCCACTCGGCCTTCCTCTTCCAATGCGATGGAGCAGGGCCAGCGCGGGCAGCTCCAGGCCGTCAGAGTACGCGTCCGTCTGCTGCTCGCGTAAGGTCTGCAGTGTCTTGTGGCTCCTGCTGGCCCTCTCGGTCCTTGGGGTGTCCGTCCGTTTGCGTCGGCCACCGCCTTGGGCCCTTTCTTGTGCCAAACAAGCAGGCCGTTCCCTGGTGTCACTCTCCAGGGCACGGTGGTGAGTTAAAAATCCTCCTCCTCCTCCTCCTCCTCCTCCTCCTCCTCCTCCTCCTCCTCCTCCTCCTCCGCCTCCGCCTCCGCCTCCGCCTCCGCCTCCGCCTCCGCCTCCTCCTCCTCCTCCTCCTCCTCTTCCTCATCCTCCTCCTTTTCCAGCTTCTCTTCCTTATTCCCTACCAAGGCTCTGCCTAGAAGGGTTTTTACTGTGTTTGCTTAAAGGGGCCGGGCAGTGGAAAGCGCCCTAGGCGGTTCCCCCAGTGACGGCCCCGTAGCTTAGCGTTGCTTGTCTCATCTTAGCTTAGCTCATTTCATCTTAGTTTAGTTTAGTTTCATCTTAGCTCAGGTTTATCTAAGCTTAGCTGACCTTCGTCTTAGTGTCGCCGAGCTTTAGCATAACAGAGCACAGCAAAGCATAGCATAGCGTAGCATAGCGCAGCATAGCATACCATGACATAGCCCAGCATAGCATAGCATAGCGCAGCATAGCATAGCATAACATAGCATAGCGCAGCACAGCACAGCACTGCATAGCACAGCGCAGCATAGCATAGCAGAGCAGAGCAGAGTATATCATAGCATAGCATTCGCACAGCATAGCATAGCATAGCATAGCTTAGCATAGAACCGCCCAGCATGACATAGCATAGCTTAGCATAGCGTAGCATAGCATAGCATAGCATAGCGCAGCATAGCATAACATGGCATACCATTGCACAGCGCAGCATAGCATGGCATAGCATCGCATAGCATATCATAGCAGCTAATGCTGATGTCCTGGGGGTTCCAACTTCTAGGTAGGGTCGCACTGGGTAATTTCTCTTCCTCATTCCCCCAAGGATTTCCACAACGGCTGGGGGAAGATATAATCAAATAGCTAGCTTGGCCAGACTTCGCCTAAGGTTCGGCCGCATGGGCGTTTTCAAAAGGCAGAGGGCGGCGGGGATTCGCCGTAGACGTTTTCGATCCGCCGCCCCCATGCGGCCTGTCCACAAGAATCGCTGAGGTGCCGAATGTCTGACTGCTTGTAGCCTGTCCAAACGGTTCCCAATGAGAGCTCGGCCGACCCAGCCAACCACACGGAAAAAAATACCCGAGACGCGCCCAACCCCTTCTCCACGCGAGGCGAATATTTGCACGGTGGGGGCATTGGATAAGGAACCCTTAGATAAGGAATCCAGGGTCTGGAGACTGTTGGAACTCCAATCGAGGCTTGGCCTAGATATCACCGCCGCCCTCATCAGAGAAGGAGTCCTCCGGGGTCTGCAACCTCCTGGGCACATTCCCTAACCAGCACCCTCACCGTATGAACGCTCCGTTCAAAAGAACCCATCGCCAGATGTGCACGATCTGCGCTGCCCTCATCTCCGCCGTGCCTCCCAGAAGCCAGTGAAATGGGCGACAGCCGCGCAGTTCGCAACCCCCGAGGGAGCCGCGAGGTATCAAATGGATCTGCGCCGCCCTCACCTTCGCCGTGCCTCCCACGAGCTCACGAAACTGGCGACCATTGTGCAATTCGCATCCCCCGAAGGAGCTGCGAGGTCTCAAGTGGATCTGTGTTGCCGTCGCTTCCGCCGCAAATCCCAGGAACCCACGGAAGCCACTTCGCACCTCGCAGCAGTTGCGCGGTTCGCAACCACCCAGGAGGCAGCGAGGTCTCGTCTGAGTCCACGCGCCCCCCGAGACCCCGCTGACCCTCCCAGGAGCCCGCGAACAAAAACGACAGCTGCGCAGTTCGCAGGCACCCATGGGAGCAGCAAGGTCTGGGTGGCCTCCGACTCCGCTGGACCTCCCAGGAGCCCACGAAAGCTGCAACACTTGCGCAGCTCACAACCACCCGAGGAGCAGCGAGGTCTCGGCTGCAGGCGCCCCCCCCCCCGAACCCGCTGAGTCCCCTAAGGGCACACGAAAGTAGCAACAGTTGCGCAGTTCGCAGCCACCCAAGGAGCAGCGAGGTCTCGCCTGCGTCCGCGTGCCCCCCGACCCGGCTGGACCTCCCAGGAGCTCACGAAAGCTGCGTCAGTTGCGCAGTTCGCAGCCAGGGAGCAGCGAGGTCTCGTGTGTGCCCGCGTGCCCCCGACCCCACTGAACCTCACAGGAAGCCCACGAAAGTGCCGACCGTCGCACAGTTCGAAGCCACCCAAGCCTTTTTTTTGCAGTTCACAGCCACCCAGGGAGCAGCGCAGGAGGAGGCAGGATGAGAAGAAGAGTGCGGAGTGGAGACCACAGTTTTCTATTCCAAACGGAAAGCTAACACAGGAGGACTAGGAAGAACCCAAACTACTGACGAAGAACCCAACCCATTCTATTCGTGTGGGAACTACCAACTGGACCGCTCAGTACACAAGAATTCATTGGGGGTCCGCAATACCCTTGGAAACAAACTTCCCCGCAGAACGTCGGACCAGGCTCGGCACGCACTCGCGCAACTCAAAGCATACACGGGGCGGTGACTATGCACGCGGCACGGAGCACGAGGGCGGTGGCAGGGGAAGCGAGAGGAGGGGTAATTTGAGGAAGGATAATAGCTCCAGCGCAACGCGCGGGAGTCCAGGCAGGGGGCGGCGCGACTGCGCCGCAAGCTAACGATTCCTTGGCCGGCTCAGGCTCCGCAGCGCAGAGGAACTCCTCGAAGCCGAGCTTCGCGACTCCTAGCTCCTAGCTCCGTGAAGTAACCGTGCGGACCCTGCCACCCGGGCCTTCAGTGGAGCTCCCCATGGGGCCACGAAACGTGTGAAGGGCATGCCAGAAAGAACCTGGGTAAGCGTGCGGACCCCGCCACTGAAGCCTTCGGTGGAGCTCCCCATGGAACCACGAAACGTGCGAGGGATGCGCAAGAGTGGACCCGAGAAACAAATCGGACCCCGCCACTGAAGCCTTCGGTGGGGCTCCCTATGAGGGCCACGACATGTGTGAGGGACACACCAGATAAATTAGGGTAGCCATGTGGACCCTGCCACTGGGGCGGTGGAGCTCCCTGCGCGGCCACGAAACCTGTGAGGGGTGTGCCAAAATGCCCCCAAGAGGCCTCAAGTTCCTCCTCCTCCTCCTCCTTCTCCTCTCCTCCTCCTCCTCCTCCTCCTTCTCCTCCTCCTCCTCCTCGTTCTCCTCCTCCTCCTCCTCGTTCTCCTCGTCCTCCTCGTCCTCCTCCTCCTTCTCCTCCTCCTCCTCCTCCTCCTCCTCCTCCTCGTCCTGCTCGTCCTGCTCGTCCTCGTCCTCCTCCTCTTCGTCCTCCTCCTCCTCCTCCTCAACCTTCTCCTCTTCCTGCTCCTCCTCCTCCTCCTGCTCGTCCTCCCCTCCTCCTTCCACAAATGTTCCCCAAGGGTTTCCACAACGGCTTGGGGAACACGTAATCCAATAGCTTGGCAAGACGTCGATCCAACGTTTAGCCACATACGGACAGACAGGCGTCTTCGATATCTCAAATATAAATGGCACAACCAAGTTGCAACGCAGAACGCCCAACCGATCATGCTGCTTCTACTCGAACAGTGCAGGCGTTCCCCTCGCATGATACAGACCACATCGTCCGCTTGCGGCGCACAACGCAAACGCTACGTGACGTGTATAGTGCTGTCTGCTGTTGCGCACACAGCCAAGCATCATGTTGCCTGCGCCTTTCATGTGGAGACATCGCATGCGGAGTTCTGCAACACGGTGAGCTCTAGCAGCAGAACAGCACTGTTCTGCCGGAGGCTACTTCTGACCAGAAGCAGACAGCATAAAACCTGTTGCACCATACGCAGCCACAAAAGCTGCATTGAATGCACGCCCTGTAATCGACTGCAAGCCATCCCACGAGAACGCCCCCACACCGATGAGTCTCGCAATTGCTCGGCCGCGGTCCTTCGACGTGCCCACTTCAGGCTGCACGTATCGCGCGGTGGGCGCCGAAGACATCTCACTCAACTGATGCCCAATCCACTCTGCCCATGCTGTATGCTTGCTCATGACTCATAGTATGAATTCACGCGTTGATTACAGTTGAATCCTAAATGAACTAAAGTTCTTGGCACTGGCAAAAGCCTTCATGAGCTTCACGTGTGAGTAACAGTAGCTTGGGCATGCGGACAGCAAGAGCAATACTAATCGAACGGCATGCACCGTTGCAACAATGTTATTTCTGATTATGATGCCCATCATTGCCATGACTGCCTTGTTTTTCTGTCGGCTGACGAAGCGATTTGCGCACGAACACAAGGTCATGGGTTTTCGTATTTCATCATGATGAACATTTGCATCCCTGCGCTGTCGTGGCTGTTGCATGCCACTAGGAATCTGATCCTCGCTTTCGCTCGTGCCTATCTGTCCACTCTCCCCGATCACGTGGACGGCTCTAAAAAACCCGAGATGGAAGAAACACATCTCTTCGGGGCTCATCTTTTCGTGCCACTCCGACTGAGCCGCCATCGCTTCACTTCTGGCCGTCCGCCGCCTCCTGCCAAGGAACAGATACCAACTTCTCGACCCTTCAAAGCCGAGGCCCGTTCTGGAGCGCGCCACGTGTTGTAAAAGACGCTTGCAGGTTCGCTGTGGTAGGCGTGGCTCTTTAGAACGGCAGCCATAGCTGCACCGAAGAGAGAAGCTTTGCCTCCAGCGGCCGCCGTTTCGATGACGAGCAGTTCCAGGGAGAGCCATGAGCACGGAGCCATGCGCCAGAAACATATCCTCACAAATCTACGCCTCGAAACCTGGAGCCGCGTCGAGCGCATTGAAGCCCAAGCCGGGAGCCGTCTGCTCTGATCGGGATGGACAAGAAAAAGGGCTGGCAAAGCGGGGCGTGGCGAATCGGATGCGTCTAGCAATTGTTTCCGGCGCCTCGAAACGCTGGGAGTGACCTGGAGCGACTGGCAGCAAGGCCGAAATCAGCTGCGTACATCAAATGTAATAGCCCCCCCCGTTTCCCAAGGCCCCCTTTTTCGTCCACACTGGCTTAAGCTCATGTGAGATTAGCCTCAGCTCGAGGACCGACCCTCCAGAGAGAGAGAGAGAGAGGGAAAGAGACGGAGAGAGGGTGACTCGCAATGCAGAATGAGTTTCAAGCGCCAGGGCACCTTCTCCTCCGTCTACTAGCACCTCCTTCGTGGCAGCATCGTAGTCCGCGCTGCGGGGTGCCCAATCGTTCGAATACTTCACGAATATGTCCTCCAGCTGAGTCCGAACCATCAACTCTCCCTGCCAACTCCCATCTTCAATCTGCTTCGCATTCGCCAGCCGGGCCTCGTACCCGACGCACGTCTTCCCGACGCTACCCTCCCCAGACCGTATATCCCCCGCGTGGTTTGAGATGAAGATGTGCTGGAGCTCGGAAGTTCCGATTCCGTCGAGGATCGGGGGGTCGTCAACGGGGGGTGGTAGGACTGCAAGGCAGGTTAGCAGGAAATCACTCTGGATGGAGCCTGGAAGAGAAGATGTAAGCCTCCAACCAAGTTCGTTCCCGCACACCACCTTGGACGAATCCTCCATCTTCCACTGAGGGGAAACGATAAGGGGGACCCGCTCAGGTAGGGGACATCGACCTGCGGACCCTGATAGCCTAGCGGCCCCTAAACGTTGCCCACTGGCTTTCGAGTCACAGCTCGGATCTTTGGCGGCCGTTCGGGAAGATCTGAGCACCCCCGGAACACTTTTGACGAGGCACCCCGAGGAGGCTGGAAAACCTCCGGGCACCGACGACAACGTCCGAAAGCCTCGAGCCTCGAACTCCCGATCACCCCCTGGGCCTATCACCCCTCCTAAGCGCTGCCCCCGATCTACGACCCCCCGAGAGGACGGCGCACCTCGTGCCGAGCCCGGCGCGCCTGGCCGCGGAGGCAAAGTTGAGGTAGGTCGAGGGCGGCAGCGGAGCCCCCGCGCTCGTGATGACCTCGCACCTCTGCAGGGCGTCCGCGAGCTCGGGGTCCCTCGCGTCGAGCCTCTTCGCCAGGGTCTGGAGCGTCTCGCTTTTTTGCATCTCCGGGGGAGCCCGCGGGAGACAGCGCAACCGTCCGACGGCCGACCCGACGACACTGCTCCACGGGCGCATGCCGCTCCGCGAGCGCACGCCAGCGCAGCCTGGAGAGCCTGCCCTGTTCTCTGCGTGCGTGGACCGGTCCTGTCGTTCTTCGCTGCCTTCCCTGCGATCCGGGCGCTTGCAGTCTTCTCACGCAGGGCGTTTTCGCCTGGTGTTGGGCCCCAGGACCATCGCAAATCGATCTAGCTCGAGATATACCGCAGAAAAATTGGGCAAAGGGCTTCGGTCGTGATTTGGCACGGTGCTGCAAGTGTTTCATGACGCTGGATCTCAGAGGAGATCGCTTTGCTCTGCGCGCGCGGGCTGGCGCTGGCATTGCCACCTGTCCAATCTAAGACGAAGGCAGGACGAGGAATCCTCCTCCTCCTCCTCCTGCCGTCCGCCTCGTGCATCCTGCCTCTTCCCCCCCACCCCCCCGCCAAAGATGGCCTCAGAGTTGCGCGCCCCCATCTGCAGCTTGTTTTCTACACGCAAGATTAGTCCGATCTTGCTTTTCCCATATACTTCCTCCAACCCGAACAATTTCGGCACTTCCATACTAATGTTCTCGCTGGATCATTGGCCTCATTTCAGAATCGCCGCTTTGCTCCCGTCGTTCAGAATGGCACTCTCGCCCTAGCACGGGCCACAATTTTGGATTCCAATCATTCATCGTCATTATCGCCCCGCTCCCTTCCCTCCTCCGGCTTCCACTGGTCCACCTGATGATCCCGTTCCTATAATACTCCTGCTCCTACAGATGCTGTTCCTGCTCGTCCTCCTCCTTCCCCATCCTCATTCTCTTCCTCCTGTTCATCCTCTTGCTCAGCCGCCACCTCCCTCTCTTCCTCTAATGCACGCAGCTCTCCTTTTCTGACTACGCATAACACGATGGGGTCCTTTTGAGGGTCCATGTCCGCTGTGACACCCGTCGGCGGATGGAGAAGCATCAGCACAATGGGAAGGGATAGGAGGGAGGAGAAGGATTTCAGATATAGCGCGAGCGCACCTAGCTTGTCCTCTTCCCTTCTGCCTCCTCCGCTATGCTCTGCGCGTTGGGGCTGGCCGTGTTTTCTCCCCTGCCCTGATCTGAAACGAAGGAATGACAAGGACAAAATACCAGGCGTTCTTGCAATCGGAGAAGACATGAACGGGGGGGAAAAGCGCGGACATTTCCGGCAACCACTTTTCCGCAATCCTCGATCCCGATCCCGCCCCGTTGCTGCCCCCCCCCCCGCTACCGAGCGCCCAAAAGCTCGAATGCGGACAGACCAGCACGCTCTGAAAGCTGGCGGGTCTGGAGGACCTATCAGGCGCCGCGGCCTGTTCCAGAGCGTTCCAGAATGCTCTGATAGCGTTCCAACACACTCTGACACGGTTTTTACAGGGCGATGAGATCTACATGTTTCCAACGCCCAAAGGCCCCGAAGACGGCCCAACAGAGACCCCAAAGAGGACGCGACAATGCGGCAAATTGTATGTGTCCCAAGAGGTTGCTCTACATGATTGACGTACTCGCCTTGGGCCCCAAAGCTGCCCAAGGGGGCATCGAGATGGCCCAAAAGGCCCCCAAGGCTGCTTAAGCGACCACCGTGAGGGCACCAGGAGGAGCTCAAGAAGGGAACTCGAAAATGCCCTGGAAACCATCGCCCGCAAAATTGCCCTCAACAACCCCAGTATGCCGCAAAGGTAACCACATAAGGCCCCCAACAGGCTCCCAAGAGGGTCCCAAAACAATCCAGCAGGGCACCTTTTGAACACGGC